GCCCTCACACACAGGACACCAGGACTGTCATATAATGATGATATGACTGTCCTGTGTGTGAGGGCACTACAAGTGTCAGCAGTCCCTGTCCATTATATGACAGTCCTGTGTGTAAGGGCACTACGAGTGTCAGCAGTCCCTGCCCATTAAATTAAATGTGCGGCTGAGAAGGGAAGGTACGGGGTCCTCAGAGGGCGGCCGGCTGAATTACTGCTATTTGTTTTTTCTATCTATGCGCAGGCTAGAAAAAAAAAATTATCCTGCTTGCCGCGGTACCAAGCTCGGGACTGGAGGGCCTAATAAAATCTTGTGGCGGGCCGGTTCTGGCCCGTGGGCCTTGTAATTGACATATGTGGAATAAGGGATAATAGCATTTGGTCGTTTCCATTATTGTCTATTGTTTCACAAAAACAAAGGAGTATGGTGAAGATAGAAAACAGATGTATTGCACAATAATTGCATGCCAAGCATAGGTTACCTACTCACAAACACATCCCTGTGCTCCTTTTCAGTTGGATGCTGTGTTTGCAGCACCTTTTTCAGCAGTATACTGCATCTATCCCACTTTTTTTCAAACAAATATAATATCTCCCAATTTTACAAGAAGAGATTTTACAAACTGTACAACTGAGTAGAATTGTCTTAAATGTATATGGATCGCCGAGTAAAATTTTCCAACCCCTCCCAGCATTTTTACTGCTAAAGCTATGAAAGTGTTGTTGTACATGTACAAAATCCCTGGACATCTCATATTCTTGTTTAAAACCACACACCACATGTGAAAACATGGAATGAAATGGAATTCCACTCCTTTTATAGGATATAGGGCTGCAGCAGTATTAATAAGCGACATCATTTTATTCAGTATATGTTTGTACCACAATATATTATTGAGGCCGTAGGTGGGTAGATCTTTTGTTTAGAACAAAAGATCTACCCACCTATGGCCCATGGTTCTCATTGCAGTGAGAAGTCTCTCAAATTGTCCATTGCTGGAAACTACTGTAATTTACTTATAAACTTTACACTTATACTTTTTCTGGCTTATAGAGGTGGAAGGATTGGACATGCAGCATACACCTGCAACACTGGCTTGAGATGCTCATAGACATTAGATCAGAGAGCAATGATCTAATGCAGCTGTTTTCATCCTTGGTACCATGGAGGAACCCTTGAAATACATTTCCAGTCTCAGGGAACCCCTGATAAAAGTTATTATACAGTATGTACAAATCATTGTCAGGGCTATTCACAAAAGGGTGAAGAGTTTGGAGAAGGCAGGAGAAGTGAACAATCTAGGCCAAAATAGCTGATTTGGAAACATTCTCAATTTAGTTCACTTTCCAGTTCTGCTATGTTGGCCTAGATTGTTCACTTCTCCTGCCTTCTCCAAACTCTTCACCCTTTTGTGAATAACCCTGTGTATATTAGCATGATCAGTAAGTTGTAGATATGAGTAAACAAGAGCAGCAAGCAGTATTATTTTTGCACACCCACCTGGCTGCTTACCATACATGCATATGTCTAACTGTCATGTATTTTCTATATACTATTTTTAAACTGTTCATGGACATGAATTAAGAGACTTAATAATTATAATAATCTTTATAGCTTTAGACAATCTTTAATTTTTCAGTCAGTTTTTGGGTATTATATGACTTAGCGAGTATTACCTGATTGATACTGGGGGAGAGGTCGTTCTTGTGATGCGGTGGGCTATATTATTATTGCGACACTTTGTTTATCTGTATGGTTTACCGTAGATGGACCTATTTTGGGCATGAGAGTTTTTCCTCCAATATTTTTCTAACCATCCCTCTTATGGGCAGCCCCTGTCTGTTTTTTTGTTCTCCTCCACCCTGGGACTAGTTGCTTCTCCCCGACCTGCCCCACGTCTCGATTTATGCTTCTGATGATTTCGCACCGAGGGGGTAAGGTTGATTGGCATTTCACTGCAATTATACTATATTATCTATTACGATTGATGTTGTAGCACTCATACTGCTTTTTTATATGATCCTTAGACTACCTCCTTCTCCTGAAGAAGCGCCGTGTGGCGCGAAACACTTTGAGAGTATTGCGATCGTCGCATTAGCCACCCATGTATATGGTTCCACTTGAGGTTATATGTAATATTGTTTAAAGAACTGAACGTTTTTTCCTAATCTAATTGTCCATATTATATATGGTATTACCTTACTACATAGACTAGGCTCCAATCATGTCATAAAATCTTATGATCATGTTTATTATAACCTCTATGTTGGAAGTTGATGGCTGTTAGGAGATCCTCTTCATTGTTTATGTATTTTGTGCATTTTTAAATATATTTACTTGTTAATCTTTTGTATAAATAAACAATATATTTTATGATATATACAATCGTTTTGTCTCTTGGACTTATCATTAGGTGCCAAAAAAAACCCAACTGCTTTCTTTCTCTATTTTGTATTTAAGTTGTAGATATGATAATAAAGGAATATGGTGCTGTATGTCACACTCAGAGCAGATATATAGACAGCAAACATTTTTGCGTGCCTTTACATCGGTGGTCATTGTAGAAAGGCCCTTTTTGATAGCTGGTTGTCAGTAGTATAGTGCTTCTTGTACACTGGAGGTCAGTGGAAAAGTGTTCCTTTACATTGGTGCTCACCGTAAAAGTACCTCTTTACACTGGAACTTTGCACTTCACTGAAGTGAAATCTCGAGTCCATACGGTGTTTTTCAATGAGAAACTTTCTGCTAAACTACTGGGCTCGCTCACTGATGAAATTTAATAAAGTTTTGGATCCTTGGATTTCGTGGCGTCTACCCCCTGACTTAGAGAGTCGGTTGCTAGTTCTTTAGTTTTCTGTGTTAATCATGCAATGCAAGTAACAGATCGGTCCTGAACCTCGGTATGCATTTTTTTTCTCTCTTCCTCTACTTCTCTTCTATTCTCTTTTCTCTCCTCTCTGGCTTCTCTGCTCTTTCCTTTTTCATGCTCTACTTTTGCCTTATATTTTTCTTCCTCTCTTCTTTCTACTCCCTTTTTCTTCTATTTCCTGTGAGAGGTATTTTAGTCCTGTCCCCACCCTTGCCCCCCTTTCTTTTTTCTCCCTCTCCTTTTTGTTTGGTGTTTAGTTTTATTTGACTTTAATTGCACCTTAAAAGTATTAAATGCCTTTACTTTGTCTACTGCAATGTCTATGTGCCTGTACCACTGGAAAAAGTACTTTATCCTTAACCCTTTATGATATTGCTTCTCTTGTTTGTTCATTGTTATCTTGTATATTATGCGCAAATAAATAACAATATTGAAAAGAAAAAAGTACCCCCTTACACTGGAAATCAGTGGAGGCAGGGAGATAGGTGGGTGAAAAAAGAGAGAGAAGGTCCATTTTTATTTATTCTTGCCACTAGAATAAACTTATGCGCGTACGATCCCCTACGCACGCAAATTTGGGGCATTTTATTATATTTTTTCAAGTACCTGAATGCTAGTCTAGATGACCAATGTAAACTCCATGGTGTGCATATTGGCTATTATAGGACTGTGTTCAGAGGCATTTAAGATTAAAAAAAAGCGTAGAGATCTAAAATCTGCTACACCGCGCTCATGTGCATGAGCCTTTAGAAATCAACTACATTGGTAGAATATTAATAAGTATCTTTAAAGTGACACTAAACTTAGAAGTTAAACCTTAAAAATGCATTCAGGTCAGTGGCGTCACAAGGGGGGTGCGGCCCGCACCCGGGTGACACCATTGGAGGGGTGACACCAAAATGACTCAGTCATTTTGGTGTCACCCCCCTCAGAAAAGTCGGGCGCTCGGTCATGGACCAAACGCCCGACAGTATCAGGAGAGAGGAGGGGACCAGGCGGCATACCTTATCCCGCCGGGCGACTGTCCCCTCCTCTCTCTGCCGGCGTCCATCACCAAGATGGCCGCCGGCAGGTATCAGAATACTGCCGCGCGTGCGCGTGGTGACGTCACGTGCATGCGCAGTGACGTCTCGGCGGGGTGACACTTGGTTACCGCTCCGGGTGTCACCCAGCCTCGGGACGCCCCTGATTCAGGTACCTTAACGATTACCAAAAATGTATCTTATTTGTGTATCGCTCGGCTGTAGATCCTCAAATCATCTCTGAATTGGTGCTGACACCGTCCTTCCTTCTGGAGGGTGGCTGCTTTTGTTACCCATGGTCCCTGTATGTGTGTTGTAAAGTAGTCGCTACTCCAAGCACACTCCCGTGATGCACTACAACCTCAATGTAAACTAAACATGAGATTGCAGTCCATCATGGGAGTGAGCTTGGAGCGGTGGCTACTTTACAACACACACAGGGATCATGGAGAACAAAAGTAGCCACCCTCCAGAAGGAAGGACAGTATCAGCATGAATTCGGAGATGATTTGAGGATCTACAGCCGAGTAATACACAAATTAGATACATTTTTGTTGATAGTTAAGGAATGTGCATGCATTTTTAAGATTTATCTCCGGAGTCTAGTGTCACTTTAACGATGTGAAAAGCTATGGGAAAATATATTTTAAAAAAATCTGCAGGTAACAATAATAATTCTCTGTATTCATAAATGATTACACATCTTTCTATATGTTTGCTTCGAAAATCACAGCTTACTGTCCCCAGTATAAATAGCTGAGGATGACAACTCTATTCTGGGCCACCCTAACATGTACCCCTTTCACGGTCTCTGAAAAACAAGCCGCGAGGGATTCTGGGAAGTGCAGTCTTCTGCCAGGCCGCTCTAAGCAGAATCTCCCTGCCTGTAACGAAGCCGCGGACTACCTCTCCCAGAACTCCTCAGGGGGAAGATCCCCGTAGGCTGCAATCCAGAGTTGGTTTCCAGGTATCATGATTGATGCCAGGGTGAGAGCTCGCACATAACTGTTAGCGGGGAGCGTCTTGTGTCAGATCACAACTTGAACTTGTAGCCTGCGGGTGACATGGGACCTGGCAAGGAGCTGTGCACGGCGGATAGCGGTCCTGGCAGCGTGCACATGTTGGAGAAATGTAAGCAGCAAGCAAGCGACATCATAGAACAAGAGCAGGCGCATCTGTACGAGCTGAGCCAGGACATATGGAGAGAGCCGGAGCTGGCCTATAAGGAGCACAGCGCCCATCGTGTCCTCACCAGCTTCTTCTCCAGCAGATCATGGCAGGTGCAGCCGCATTACCAGCTGGGCACGGCGTTCCGGGCAGAGTGGAGCTCTGCGCCCGGCACCTGCCTGCATGTGGCTTTCCTGTGCGAGTACGACGCCCTGCCCGAGCTGGGGCACGCCTGCGGGCACAATCTAATCGCTGAAGTGGGGGCAGCCGCAGCGCTGGGGCTCAGGGGGGCTCTGGAGAGTGTGTCACCCATGCCTCAGGTCAAGGTGAGATTTCATCAGCTATGTACGAACCTATGATTCGTGTTTTTGCAGCACAAGTATGCTCGTATGCACTGTGCTAGTCTAGAAATAAACTGGCACAAAGGACCAAGGGTCAAAGTGATACTAAACGCTGGAGCTCAATCTTAAAGATGCATCCAAGTACCTTGACTATTGACAAAAATGTATCCTATGGGGGGAATTGATGAACATGAAGACCTCCAAACTATCACACTTCCTAGAAGAGCTTCAGAATACTTCTCAAAGTGTTGCAAAGATAACTCACTTTCACTTCCTAAAGTCAGATGAGTGCCTTAGGGCTATTCAACTGTCATCCAGGAGGTTCCCAGCAAACTGGCCACAGTTTAGAGGGCAGGACAATAGAGACAGTTCTCCTTATGAAGATAATGGATCCATGAAGAACATGGAAAATAAATCTGTCGCTTATGCACTAGAAATCAGGGATGCGACAGTTTAAAAGACACTGATGGTGCAACAATGATAAATTGCCTCCTATGTGTGTATCACTCAGCTGTGGATGCTCAAATCATCTCTGAATTGGTGCTGGCACTGTCCTTCCTTCTGGAGGGTGACTACTTTTGTTCCCCGGGGTCCCTGTGTGTGTGTAAGGTAGCCTCAGCTTCATGTTCGCTGCCATCATGGACAACAATGTCATATTTAGTTTACTAATTTGTATTGAGATTGTAGTCCATCATGGGAGCGAGTTTGGAGTGGTGACTACTTTACAACATGGTGAACAAAAGTAGCCACCCTCCAGAAGGAAGGACAGTGCAGTATGATTTCAGAGATGATTTGAGGATCTACAGCTGATTCATGTATTGCACATTTGATTTATGTGTCTTTTGCATATCCTTAATAGCTTTGTTTTGCTGTTCCATATTTCCCTCCATCTCTTCAACTCGCTTCAATAAACATGTTAGATCTGTTCTCATACCTTTAAGCTCTTGCTTTATTGATCTTTCCATTGCTTGCAGCATTTGGGCCATGTCTGCTTTAGTAGGCAGATCTTGCGAGTCCTCTCCTGTTTCAACACTTGTCTCCCTCGAGATCAATACAGCTGGGTCTAATTCACATGGCATTCCAGCTGAACCTTGTGTCGGCGAGCTTGAGTGTGAAGGCAGCATATCTGAAGTATCCAGCCGCTGGAACCTTTCATCTAGATTGTGTTTAGGCCGTATCTTCTCCGCTGTAAGATATCTTTTCAGGGATCCAGCTCCCTCGCTTTTAGCTCCATTTTTCTTCTTTTGGCTTTTCTTACTAATCTCTCTAGGGGGTCTGTTTAGGATAGTAACGCTACAGCTCTCTCATGCCGCTCCGTCGGCTTTCTTCTCGGCGTTCCCCTTACTCACGTCTGGTCAGCGTCACGCATGACACCTCCCCCATTCACCCAGTTCAATCAATTTCATTTTGCATACTTTTAAAAGATGCCATGGCTGAAAGAAGTTTGAGAAACCCTGATCTAAAAAAAATTAAATTGGCAAAAAGGAATTCACAGCTGAATCAAGGATTAAAAAGAGCAGATTGTACCAGCCTTTGTGAACCAGGGTTCCTCCTAAAGTTGTTAGGGGTTCCTTAAGCAATGAGCATGTTGATTTCCTGCCCACACTGACTACCAGTGTTAGGGGATGATTTTCCACTGACCACCAATGTAAGGGGGCACCTCTACACTGACCACCAATGTAAGGGCGCACCTCTACTCTGACCACCAATGTAAGGGGGCACTTCTACACTGACCACCAATGTAAGGGGGCACCTCTACACTGACCACCAATGTAAGGGGGCACCTCTACATTGACCACCAATGTAAGGGGGCACCTCTACACTGACCACCAAGCCCAGGAACAACTAAACATAGGAAATAATCATGCGGGACGCATAAAGTTGTTTATACTTACCAGATATCTTCTCTTGTGTTTAAATGCAGGCAACCCGTGTGCATGAGTCACTTTTAGGGCTCATGCACACTAGCTGGCATCTGAACTCATGTTTTTTCAATGTAGTGTCCATGAGGCCTTACACTGATCACCTATGTAAGGGGACAGTATAACACCAATGTATGGGGTTATTTCTACACTGATCACCAATGTAAGGGGTAACTTGTCTGCTGATGACCCATGGGGTAACTTTTACGCTGACCACCAATGTAAGCAGTCAATTCTACATGGACAACCAATGTATGGGGTCACTTCTACACTGGCCACCAATGCAAGGGGGTCACTTCTACACAGACCATCAATGTAAGGGGTCAATACTATGCTGACCACTTGTGTAAGAGGTAACTTTTATACTGACTACTAATGTTAGGAAGTACTTCTACACTGGCCACCAATGTAATAGGACAATTATTCACCGATGTTTGGGCTCACTTCTATACTGACCACTAATTTAAGATGAACATTTTCAACTGACCACCAATGTATGGTGTTACTTCTATGCTGACCATGAAGGTAAGGAGTCACTTCTAGACTGACCACTAATATAATGGGTAACCTCTACATTGAGCACTAAAATATGGAGTCACCTAGAGCTGACCACTAATGTAAGGAGTCACTTCTATGCTGACCACTAATATAAGGAGTCACTTCTATGCTGACCACTGATGTAAGGAGTCACTTCTATGCTGACCACTGATGTAAGGAGTCACTTCTATGCTGACCACTGATGTAAGGAGTCACTTCTATGCTGACCACTGATGTAAGGAGTCACTTCTATGCTGACCACTGATGTAAGGAGTCACTTCTATGCTGACCACTGATGTAAGGAGTCACTTCTATGCTGACCACTGATGGAAGGAGTCACTTCTATGCTGACCACTGATGGAAGGAGTCACTTCTATGCTGGCCACTGATGGAAGGAGTAACTTCTATGCTGACCACTGATGGAAGGAGTAATTTCTATGCTGACCACTGATGTAAGGAGTCACTTCTATGCTGACCACTGATGTAAGGAGTCACTTCTATGCTGACCACTGATGTAAGGAGTCATTTCTATGCTGACCACTGATGTAAGGAGTAATTTTTATGCTGACCACTGATGGAAGGAGTCACTTCTATGCTGACCACTGATGGAAGGAGTCACTTCTATGCTGACCACTAATATTAGGATATACCACAGTTTTTACTGTTTGCGTTTCTTTTCTGTTATAAAAATTGATTTCAAAATTATTACTGATATAATTGTTGCACAGTGAAGACAAGGGGTTTAAAAAATTATCTTCCCATGGTGTCAAATACTCTACATACATCACATTCTTTCATCTCTGATTGAAAACTTTCTACATCTTATAGATCACAGTAATATGCCATGAGTTGCAAGTATAATAATTTTAGCAATAGTTATTTTTGTTACTGAGGCCTGAAAATGACTTTAAGGGCTTATTCACACCAGCCGGAACACTAAAACAGGTCATTTTAGCGTAGGGGCTTGTATATGGGTGGTGAGGGGCGGTGCATTTCATGGTTATACTGCAAGGCACTGTTTACTTTTTAAACGTAATTAAAATGTCTCAAAATCTATCCAAATGGTAACATGAGGTGCTTTACAGCAGTGTGGTGTGAATAGGTAGGGCACAGTGTAAGAGGCTGTGAGTGTTTAGAGCCCATGCAACGCAAAGACTAAAGTCCAAGATAAATAAAACTCACAAGCAGACAAGAGACTTCGGGGCATATTTATAAAGCAGTGAATGTGATTTTAACAAAACATTCACTGGTGGCGAATCAATCGTTGTCATTTAAAATACATATACCAGGAAGATTTACCTGTAGTAAATGGTTGGTGAATGTCATATTCACTGACAAATATACCCCTTTATCCTTAAATGTGCTGTCAATATTTGGGTTGTTATGATCACTGTTGTTGTCTCCCAACACGTCCGCCATGATGTAATGTTGACCATCCTGCTCATGCTGTACTTATTTATATTTCAGGGTTTTCAGGGTCATACTGACGAGACAGACTTAGTTGTCACTACCTTCAGCACATTGTTACTTGTCTATGGTACATGACCTGTATGTCTTGACTGTTTTGGAAAAACCCCCAAAAAACTGTCTAATAAAAGTTTAATCTTTAAAAAAATATATTTTACCACTGTCATGTGCTGGAGTCATTATACTAACAGAAGATTAAACTGTAATAATTAACAATATTTTATACTAGCAGTGCTGATCTCTAGGTCCATATAAAAGACACAAATACATACAACCATGTAATCATTAATACACTGTTAAACTTGTTCCTTAACCATCTCAAGACTGGAGCATTTTTTTTCAGTTGTCACACATGTTAAAATTTTAATTTTTGGAAAGCAAATGACTTCAATCCCCCACCCAACAATTACAGTAATACCTTGGTTCACGAACGCTTCTGTTTGCGAACAATTCGGTTTTGCGAACAGAAAGTTTGGCAACATTTTGTTACCGTTCGCGAACTCCGCATCAGGTGAGGGACACGACCGTGGCCATCTTCCCCACAGTGCACACTTGCTGTGAAGCTTTTTTGTGTGCTTTTTAGCACATACAATATTTGATTCGGTTGTACCGAGGTACCACTGTATATATTTTCTGAAAGCAGAGGCCCTGTAGAATATAAAATTGGTAGCTGCATTTTTATGTCGTACAATATTTGTATAATATTGATATTTGTATGTTTATTAAATCGATATTCTTAGGAACAAAATACACTAAAGTGAATGTAAGTGCACACAAACACAATATACCCAATTTTTTTGAAAATATAAAAGATGGGGTAATGTTGAGTAGATAGCAAACATGTCAAGCCTTAAAATTGTGCACACCCTGCAGTGGTGAAAAACTATGGTAATCAAAATTGTCCATAGGTGATGTTCATCAGTTTACTGCTCATCACTTTAGCGGTAGCGGATTATGACCCTAGAATTATTGCTCTCACCCCAACATTTGCAGCGGCACCTAACATGTGTGCACAATTGCTGCTTTTGTAAACATGCAAGCCATATGCATACATTGCATTCACATGCAGATGGCAGGGGGCAGTGTAGTTGCTATTAAATTTTTTAAAACATTGTATTATTCTTTACTTTTTTAAGCACTTTTTAAATTACTTTTTGTCACTTAACTTTATTGCTACCACAAAGGCGGCTAGCAGGCCCATTTGTGATAGGATTGGCAGGTGGCAGGTTCTTCTTATGGAGACATCAGGAGTCCCTTAGACCACTGTTGTCTCCCCTGCCCCAATACAGACGACCAAGCACAGGATGGTGCTTGATCGTCTGTTTACCTGGCGGACGGAACACATCCACAAGTGTTGCTTTACTTTTCCTATATTCAGTTTTTGAACTGGAGGAAATCAAACACTTTCAAAGTGTGTATAACACCTTTGGGTTCATAATAAACTAGGGATGCACCGATGCCGATACTAGAATCGGTATAGGTGCCAATACTAAGTATTTGGGTGTGTACTCATACTCGCCCAATTGCACCCGATACGGGAACTTCCGGTATCAGGAAGCAGGGTGGCGAGTCATTACATGTGGCCCGGCTTCCTGATTGGCCGGGAAGCCAGCTCCATGCTCCATCGTTACCAGGGAGCACACCCACATGAAAAATATGCAGTGTACTTGCAGTGTTTACCCTCCTGCCATGATAGTGCTAGGTGTGTGTGTGTGCTCCAACATCACTGCTGCTCAAACAGTCTCCACAACTCTGTCATGAAAGAGTTATGGAGGCTGCTGTCGAGGCTTCCTGAAAATAATAGATGCCCGGCTGTGCCTGACTTTGGTATGTCTCCAATACTGTCCTAGAACAAGCATGCTATAGATAAATGAGTGCCAGATCTATGCATCTCTATACATATTCCGAGTCAACGACCTCAGCTTTATTGGAGCTTCATTGAAGTCAAAGTTTCAGGGAACTAAAATTCTCAAAGGACAGTTCAGCAATGCCAGCCTCTATTAATCTCTAAACACAGTGTACCTTTAACCCTTTCACTGCCAGCGGCTTAAGGCATATGTCGCTGGCAGCGGAACCCTCTAAGCAGACTCCCAGCTGCTCTCTGCTCAGATGCTTCGAACTCTACTGCCCCTTCTGTGGGCCCAGGAATGGCATCACGGGTGTTGGTGGGTAGAGGGGAGAGAGACTAGCGAACATCCATTAGCCGATTTCCTTCCCTGTGAATGGAGCCGAAGCCATGCTGATTGCATCACTTCCGGTTTCTCATCTGTCATTGGCTGACTAGAGAAGCCAGGTAAGAAGCTATTCAAGTGCGATCTGCGCTCAGTTACATAGTAAGATAGTCAGGTTGAAAAAGACACAAGTCCATCAAGTTCAACCTATAGAGATAAAAAGAAGAAAAGCCCAAACAGAATGCTATGCCCACAGTTACCCCTGTTGATCCAGAGGAAGGCAAAAAAACCCTATAAAGCATGGTTCAATTTGCTCATTTGCCAAATAGATGCCCAATCACACAGTGCATTCAGATCTTGAATATTTTCTTTGCAGTGGAGAGCTGATACTGGGGTCTAATAGACCCCTAATATCACCTTAAAGAGTACTTGTCACCCCCTAATATGTCCCCCCCCCCCCCCTATGTGATAGCAATAAACTAAGACAAAAGTTTAAAAAAATAAATAAAGTCAAATAAATTTTAAAATGCAAAAAAATGGGCACCAAAATTAACTTTTGTTGTTTTTACTTAAATTTTGGGTTTAATAAGGAGTTGCCGTAATATCATGCAGCATAACATTTTGCATTTGCCACCATTTTATTCAACAGGGTCTGTGCTTTCAGGAAATATATAACTCTCAGGGGTTTTAAGTAATTTTCAAGCCTACAATGTAAATTATAACGTGTTAAAAAATGCCTTGACACTGAAAGGGTTAAAGGATAACTGACTAAAGGTGAAGTTATGCTATGAATATATAACTAGCATCCTAGATGAATCTGTAATGTCACATATATGAAAACCAAATGTTCTTCACCTTTCTTTTCCTAGATTACAGTATTGGGAACACCAGCGGAGGAAGAAGGTGGAGGTAAAATTGACCTCATAAAGGCTGGAGCCTTTGAAGATATAGACATAGTTTTCATGGCACACCCTGCCCAGGATGATGCAGCCTATCTGCCTGATGTTGCCGTACATGAGTGAGTAAAGCAAAAATAGCAAGAGGTCTTTATTCATGTATGAGTGATTTCAAAGTGCATGATTATATTGATCAGTCTTTTGGGGAAATATTAAGAAGAATTGTGATCATTCATGGTGGTATTCCAAAGTATACTACAAATGATACTAGCCCTGATGTAGCTAATTTTTTGGACGATTGCATTTTCCTTCAATCTTCCTTCTTTCTTTAGATGGATGATGTATGCAGAAACACATCCAGCAATCTTTAGGGCTTGTTCACACCAAGCGCGTTCCAGGAGCAGAGCAGTTACAGACTGGTTCAAAACTGCGTCCGATGTATTCCAATGGTATTTTGGGCTCTAGTTCACACCGCAGCGTTCAGTTCCAGAGCATGTAAAAAAACTGCTGCTCTGGAATGCTCTGGAACGCATGCAAACACCCTGGAACGCACTAAAAGCCCATTTTAAACTAAAACAAAAAACGGCCGGAACGCATCAAAAACGCGGCAAAAAATGCAGTATAACACACTGCACTGCGTGTGCAGAAACTCATGCAGATATGGTCTGCATTTGGTGTGAACAAGCGCTTATAAAAACATGAGCATTTCAACTGTCTGCAGCTTTTCATATTGGCATTTTTGAACTGGAGCAAAGGAAACACTTTTCTGAATCATTTCCTTTGAATGAGGTCATCTTATTTCTGGTGCATGGAATTTATTCTCAGAAAAGATTATCAACAGATTTTCAAAGCTGGCTAAACCGGGGACGGGTCGCTGATCAGTTTCCAGAAGATATATAAATCTGCCTGTCCATATGATAATCTCCATGCTAGCACTATGACCTTTCTTCTAAACTCAGAGGTTTTAAAAAAAAAATCTAAACCCAGGAACAAAAATTAAATTTATTGCAACTTATTAGCGCCCTCATTAGTTTTCTTCTTTAAGACTAAAAACATTTTCAGAAAATACCTGTTGATCTTTCCAGAAATGCATTGTCCTTCACTTCCTGTGAGCTGACTTGAAAGCAAAAACAATGTTATCTCCCTTTTGTAAACTTCAAATCCCCCCACCAACCATGTAATGGTGATGAAGAGAGACATATTTGGAGTCCAGCCTGGTTGACAACTACTCCATAGATACCATGGCGTGAGTGAGCGTAGTCACCCACTGAAAGGAATTATTATTTGCAGGTTTACCAGGTGAAAATAAAGGGGGAAAAATCCTCATGGTGAACTGAAATATATTATGTTTTGGGTTTTTAGGTTTATGTATACTCTTAGGGGTTAATTTATAAACAATTTGCAGGGCCATTCGCCCTATCAATATCTGTGAACGTTAGACTTGTGCTAATATATGCACAGATGAACATTCTTTAGTTTTTTTCCTTTACAAGTATAATAAAATTTGAATGTTCTGCTTGTAATATCAAATTGTGGCCACTAGATGGTGCAAAAGGAGCATTTGAAATAAGTATTTTTGTATGCTCCTCAGCTTCATCTAGTTGCCTTAATTCAATATTACAAGCAGAATATTTGCATTAAATTACAATTGTAAAGAAAAAAAACAAAAGAACTTTTGTTTGTTCATATATTTGCACGGGAAAAATGGCCCTGTGATTTGTTTATAAATCTCTTCCCAACCCTTTGTTTTAGAAATGTATAAATATTTCCCTAAAAATATGAAGCAAGCAGCACCCTGTGAAACATTACTATTACTAGTCCAGTGGGTGGCAAGTCCAGTCTTTGTTCTCTTGAAGAGAGGTATGGCCTCAGCTACACTTCTCATAGTGTTAGACAGCTGGTCCCCGCTTTGTGGTGTGGTTCTACTACATAACAAAAGTATCAGATACTAGTGGTGACTGTAGCAAGAGCACAAAGATTGGACTTACTGCTCACTGCAATGGTAAATATTTTTCATTTACAGGGTGCTGCGTGTTTAAAGGTTTAGTACACCTTTCTGCACATTTTCCAAACAAAAAACCCTATGGTTTCCATCCTCCCCAGCATGTTGCAAAGCACTGTTCAGATGTTAAAAAATGTGCCCCTTTCCCATGGCATACCTGTAAGGTCCTGCAAGGCTTGTCTAGGTGATTGACTCCCCTCCGTCCTGGCTAAACGGCAGGATGGGTCAGACATTAGAAGTGTGACCCCAATGGCCACTGTCGGCTCTTTAAAATCGCGTGTGCTCTTTCTCCGCCTACCTTAGCTGCTGCTGTAAGAGGGAAAGAGTGCCGATCGCGCTTGGATGCAGTTTAAAAGAGCCAAGAGTGGCACACTTCTAATGTCCAGCCCGTCCTCCCTGCCAGGGAGGAGGGGGTCAATCACCTAGAGGTTTTTGCACACAAGCCAGCAGGACCTGCAGGTGTGCAATGGAAAAGGGACAGCTTTTTAAACATCTGAAGAGTACTTTGCAATGTGTTGGGGATGATGGAAAGCATGAGGGATTTTTGGGAGAAAGGTAAACCAACCCTTTAATTTTTAAAATGTAGGGGCAAGGTTGCTTTAGCACATGTGGAACATTATGTCATAGGAAACAGGATTTTTAGGTAGGTGAGCACATGAATTACATGTATGAAGTTATAACATATGACCTCAGCATTCCGCAGCTTCACAGTTTTGTTTTCTTATGTTTATTTTTGCCATTTCAATGTCTGTACTGCTCAGCTTAAAGCAAAAAAAAGGGAGAAAAAAAGAGAAATAATTGCTAAGCGCTGGCTTTTATTTCCTAGTGTGACTGTGAAATATTATGGAAAAGCTTCTCATGCTGCTGCATACCCATGGGAAGGAATTAATGCTTTAGATGCTGCTGTTCTTGCATACAACAATCTGTCTGTGTTAAGACAGCAAATGAAACCAACCTGGAGAGTTCACGGTGAGAACTTGTTTAAGAGATATGTTCTAATTTGTTTTCACTGTACAGAAAATGGGCACTGCATATTATACATTTATAAAATGCTAACACAAATTGTACATTTCTTTACTCTATTAATACAAATGATACCCAGACTAAAGCTGGCCATACATTAGTACAGGGGTAGTCAAACTGCTTCCCTCCAGCTGTGATGAAACTACAAGTCCCATTAGGCATTGCAAGACTCTGACAGGCAAGACCTACCGAGGCAAATGCATGATAGTATTTGTAGTTTCCCCACAGCTGGAGGGCCTCAGTTTGGCTACACCTGCATTAGTAGATTTCCGAAAGATCTTTCTTTACCACCGGATAATGCCATCAGAGACTTGATGAATGCCGATTGAAATTTCGTTTGATTTCAACATTCGATTTTGGAATGAATGGAGTTTCCTGTGCGAAAACCACATTCACTGTTAGAATTCCGTTCGCTCGAGAAAAATTTTCAATCCTGCTCCTTTGAGTTTTTTCGTCACTATGGTCGAAATCGATCGGTGAGTTAGACCGTCAAATAATAGAAAGTCGAAAGAAAGATCTTTCATACGAAAGTTCATTTGGAAATTTTCTAGTGCATGGCCAGCTATAGGCTTTGGGAGGACACGGATCTTTTCATGCAGCAATCTTGCACCAAGTGAGGGGAATTCATAAAAACTGGAGCAGACAAAATCTGGAGAAGTTGCCCATGGCAACCAATCAGCTTCTCTGTTTTATTTACAAAGCTTAACTTTGCAAACTGAAGAGAGAAGCCGATTGGTTGCTATGAAAGAAGTGTCTGCTCCAGTTTTCACAAATTCCCCCCGGTGTGAGCAGTCATATTGATTGCCTTGAAGCAATTAGTGTTGTGAGAGATTTGAGCGGTTTGGGATTATTTGTCTAACATTTATTAGCCTTTATTAATGTAAGCAGTAATGGGGAGATCACTTTGCACTGAATAGTGAATATAAATCAGGGTAAATTGATCATCCTTTAAGAATAGGTAAAGTCTTATTTAAAGGCCAACTTCAGAAAAAAAATGTATAACCCCTTGCAATCGGGCTATCCCACTCACTGCAAGGGTTAACTACTCCTTTTCATCTAGGGACTAAAATAAAAAAAGTTATACTCACCCGATCCTTGGCTTCTCTCTGTCGTCTCTCCGCTGCAGCGGTCTAAGGACCCTTGAGCCATCACGTTCAATAAACAGGGCATAGGACATGAGGAGACCGAGGGACATATCATCACTGCAGCAAAGGAAGAGAGAGGCTGAAGGGAGCACTGTGACAGCTGACTGGCCACCGAGGTTCGGGTGCATATAACTTTTTTTATTTTAGTCCCTAGACGAAAACGAGCAACTAACTCTTGCAGTGCAGGGGTAGTAATCTGCAAGGGTTCAAATTGGTAGGGATTTATGTTGCCCAAGTCTAGTTCTCTAACACAAGTTGTGATGCTGCAGGTACTGCTTTAGCTATGTTGCCAAATTTAAGTGGATTGCTTTTTGTATAACTCAGTATTCCAATTTTTTAACTAATACAAAATGACATCCTGACATGTGGCTTCAACATGTGACTCTTTCTTCTTTCAGGAATAATAAAACATGGTGGCGTAAAACCTAACATAATTCCATCATACACTGAGCTAGAATTTTACTTGCGTGCACCATCACGCAAAGAACTTGCTGATTTAAAAGAAAAGGCCAGTGCTTGTTTTAAAGCTGCAGCTGCTTCGACTGGATGTAAGGTAAGTATGGGAGCATATCCTTGATATGGTAACAGAGAAATATGCTCTAAGATCATTCATTTCATTTTAAACACTTGTGGACCAGGATTTATTAGATATGTCCTGCTGGAATTTATTTTTTTAAGTTTCTAGTGCATACCTACTACATCCCAATGTGTTCCTACCCAGTGCACTCCCCTGCACATATTTGTTGGGACCTGATGTAAGTTTGAATGCCAAGGTCCTCATACATCTACAATTGCTGCTGCCATTGGCTTCTGCTTCAGTGATCACTATAAGAATTTGCTGCAGTGATTATTGATAGAGATAATGTAACTATTTCATTAGTTGTCTTATATGCAGACGACAAGCTCTTCCTGTAAAAGAGCATGTCAAAGTTTTCATTATTTTGTAGTGTTGTGTTAAAAAAGAATACACAATATATCATAAAAAAATATTTAATTTCTGACATTTCAATGCTTTATGTCAGAATGGTAATTTTACGTTATGATAAGACCAATTGAAGAAAATGTCACCATATGTTCCTGACAATTCTGAACCCATGGTGGATATGTGGACTAGACAACTGAGACATTTTACATGTTTTCTGGTCCTGCAACATCTTTTAACTATTCTGGGAAGACGCCAGTCATATCTCTCAAAATGTCACAGATTTTTCAACTCCTCTTGACCTGGTCTTCTTACTTTTTTACCATAACACCATACACAGAAAAACCTAAAAAAGTTTAATCCTCCCACACCTGATTAACGCTTGCCAAGACGCCATCCCCTTACCCTTCAGACACCTCACACTAGTCACCCCCCAAATATTCATGCAGTGGGTTGCACAAATCATACGTCAGACTGTCTTCATAGCTACACCCAGATAACTCGAAAAATTAGACACTTTTTGAAGGTTATTGAGTGCTCTTTATTGCCATGTGTTTATATCAATGATAAATCATTCTCAAAGCAATGTTTGCCTTAATTTCTATCAATAAAGAAAAAAAATCTTTCCATTTTTTCTGTAAATAAGAGTA